CCTGCTCTAAATATTTTAATGCTTCCATTTTAGAACAAGAAATGTTGAGATGATTTTTAATTGGATAGCTTACTGCTATTTCTGCATGAATAATTCATAAAAATATTTTTAATGAACTTCTTCCTGTGCCATAATGACTACAAAAACTTTACTGGGCAGAAATGGGAGCTTGCAGTAGATTGAGTGTTCTTAAAGGGACGTAAATGCCTGGTCAGCTACATATCCTGGGAGCACGCTGAAGGCGAAAAACCTCAAGTGACATTCACATTTCCTTTTTACCTCATTTTTTAGGCTGTACACTAAAGCTCCCAAGGCAAAACGCCGATAAAATTGGCCAGTGTGGTCTTTTTCCGCTGCAATTTCTAAATTTTGTCGCCGTTCGCCATAACTCCCTTGTCATACTCCCTAACTCCCCTTCCCCTTTCCCCCCTCCCCTTCCCCCTCTACAATCCCTTAAAGTTTTAGAAGGGACCTTCTAATGATTCTCATAATGCTATACTTGTTTTAGGGTTAGCACAGGATAGAAGTCTGCCATAAAGGAGTAAAACTATTGGTGCTACGTTTCTGTCCTTTGAAAAAATTTGCATTAATTAAGTAAACTTCAAAACTTACATTTGCTGGATACTTTTGCAGGTTTCGAATGAGGAGGTGTAGCAGCATAGGTCTCTTGGGTGCGTCGAATCATAGTGCTATCCTTGGAAATCTCCACTAGAACGATATTTTGCTCATGGTTTTTCTTAATAGTAAAAAAATGCAGAACAAACCTATATTGCACATTACATTGGCCGCTTCAAATAATCCGAACCCCTGAATGATTGTAGTTATATAAAAATCTTTTATGATCTGAAATCTCATCAACAGCTGCTACTTACCACATCTCCAGTTTGTTTTTCGAGACTATTGCTACGATTCTCGGTTAAAAGATGCTTCTCCTTCTTTACTATGGACATCGCAGACTTTGTCTTGCCTTTTGCTGACAGGGTCCTAACCCGCTGAAACTTTTAATAATGTTTACATCAAACAAATCAAAGCTATAACCAAATTACTGACCTCGCTCTGGGCACCAGGCGAATATTCTGAAGTAATTTTATTGAAAAAATTGAAAAAAAAACCTTAATAGAACACATACTTGCTTCTATTTTACGTTCTTTCTCTTTCGTACTCATCGCTGAAAAATCATCACTGAGCTTATCTTCAAGGCGGTCGAATGTTAGTCCTTTTTCATCCTCTTTTGACTTGCTCTTCTTCTAAAATGACAAAGATCAGGATTGCGGAGAAATCCATGGTCCTGACTATGTCAAAATGTTGGGTTCGATGTCAATTCTAACAAATGTAAAAGTGCTTCAACTAGACAGATTTTCAAAAAAAGTACTAACAGTTCTTAATGAGTTTGAGGTTAGAGATTCAGAATACACTTTGCATCTTATGCCCTCATTAAATTCGCATTGTTGACATTTTTAGAAGTCATCAAGTTTTATGAAGAGATATTAATCTTTCATGTCAAACTGTAAACCCCATCTGCTAGAAAGCACCAAAAACAATGTTAAGAAATCTATTGTTAGGAACATGCGCTGCACAGCTGCGAAGTTTCGTCGGGTATTCAAGAGCGTTTTCACTCGCTAACTTTAGCGGAAGAAATTGCTAAATCAAACGGATACCCAGTTAGCGCATACTCACAAAAGCCGCTGAATTTTGCAAGCAGCAGGGTCAACCTTGTGGATGCCACAGACAAAATCCCGTCCTGC